AATCATGTTACAATATGTTAGGATTGGTTAGTTAAATTTCAGGAAAATGATTGAAAAAAGAAAAGGAGTACTTGTGGCACCTTAATGACAGGTTTCAGAGGAACAGCCGTGTTAGTCTGTATTCGCAAAAAGAAAAGGAGTACTTGTGGCACCTTAGAGAGTGGGGTGGGAGGAGGTATTGTTTCATGATTTCTGTGTGTATATAAAGTCTGCTGCAGTTTCCACGGTAAACATCTGATGAAGTGAGCTGTAGCTCACGAAAGCTCATGCTCAAATAAATTGGTTAGTCTCTAAGGTGCCACAAGTACTCCTTTTCTTTTTGTGGCACCTTAGAGACTAACCAATTTATTTGAGCATGAGCTTTCGTGAGCTACAGCTCACTTCATCAGAAGTGATTGGTTAAGGTATAGCTAAGCAGAACTGAAGTTCTACTATATAGCCTGAAGTCAATCAGGGAGTGAGTGGGTGGGTGTGAGGAGGGGAAATGGGAACAGGGACTGAGGGTGAGGAAATTGGAATCATGTTTGGCTAAGGGCAGGAATGGGAACAGGGACATAGGTGTAAGGCTCTGTGGTGTCAGAGCTGGGAAGGGGGACACTAAGGAAGGAAACTGGAATCATGCTTGCCGGAAGTTCACCCCAATAAACATTGAATTGTTTGCACCTTTGGCCTTCGGGTATTGTTGCTCTCTGGTCATGCGAGAAGGATCAGGGAAGTAAGCAGGTGAAGGAATAAGCCCCTAACATGTGCTCCCAGTGGGGTGTACCTATGGCCATGGATTGCTTTAATTCAGCCCAGGGAAGGATGCAGAGAAGAGGAACCATGGACTGACCCAAGGGAGGATCATGGTCGGAGCCACCCTCTTCCAGGCTAGAGTGGGGTGGATCACAACTCCCCTGGATGAATATGAATGGAGTGGGCAAGGCAAAAGGATCAGTAAAGAGAGAGCCAACCCTGCTCATGCTGCCTTGCAAAGGCAGACTCCATTTCCCAGAGGCCCTTGCAAAGGGGGCGTGCACAAAAAACAGGACAGGACCCCAGCCCCGTCCATTCCCACTCTTCTTAGTTCCTGCTGGGGACTGGGACAGTGTTGCGGGGTCCCTTGGGGTTCCAGGTGCTGTGGGGAGGGATTGACCATGTGTTTCTCCCGGGAGGAGTGGGGGCTCACGGCGGAAGGGCAGAGGCAGCTCTACAGGGACATCTTGCAGGAGAATTATCAGACTCTGATCTCGCTGGGTGAAGCACCGCTGCCCCTTGGGCATCAGGAGCTGGTGGGGGTCTGACATACTCATAACTGACTGCCAGCCCCCCTGCTCTAACCCGCTAGACCCCACTCACCTCCCAGAGCTGGGCTAGAATCCAAGAGTCTGGGCTCCCAGCCCCTCTTCTACGTGTGTGTGTGATGAGAAGTAAGCTTAAGGATCAATTTCCTATTCATGCACAAATGCATCATCACGGCAACAAAGATCACATCCCTATGACTTGTTACTAGGCGTACTACTGTAGCGCCTGGAGGGTTGTTGTCCAACGCATGACTGAGATTGCCCTGTGTACCTGCCCAATGGAGGTGGACTTGGGACTCCAGGGTCCTGAACTGTATTCCTGGCTCTGCCACTGACCCACTGTGTGACCTTGCCCTAGTCAGTTTCCCCTCCCTCTATTTAGATCATAAGCTCGTCCTGTTAGGGATGGTCTCACTGTTTCTGCACAATGCTTAGCACGTGGGATTGGAGCCTTTTGGTGCTACATAAGACAATTTTGCTGCTCTTTTCATTGCCTGGTCTGGCCTGTGCTTTCCTTGGAATCCACTGGCAATGGAGTTTCACTCCTGGAAACTAGTTACTTTTAAAAATGTTATTTGGATTGCTCTTAGCACTTCATTGTTTACCTGCATTAACGCTGTGCAGCTGGATTGTGCTATGTGGCTGATATTTTAATATTAATATTTTGAATGATTATTGCTAATTGTTAGTCATTTCAGCAATTACACTTCTGTGTTTCTAGTATAGCACTTCCTGTTTCTCCTGCAACATTAGATTTTAATTCTAAATTGGGGAGCCGGGGGGCTTTTTTTTTTTTTTATACCCAAGCTTATTCTTTGGGGTCATGTGACTTTTAGGCTGACTGATTTCCTGGTTTCATGTCAAAACTATTTCGGTTTCCTTTGATCCTCCTACGGGGATTGCCCACTGCTACTGTTGTTTTGCCTCTCTAACCAGCACCGTCCTCCTTTTTCACCTCACTTGTGTGTCAAACTTCAATCCCAAATAGTCATCCCAGGCCAGATTTTTAAGTGTTGAAAATACCTAGATGCTATTGAAAATTCTGCTAGTCCCCTTAATACACTTACAAATCTGGCTCTTAAGGCACTATACTATCTTATATGAAATCCTTTTCAGAAGCCAATTTCTATGGTAATTTTTACTGAATATAGGTATACAACTCTGAGATAGATTGACAACCACAAGCATTCAAAAATCATGGGTTTTACACCTGAAAATCATGCCATTTAAATAAATACATACATTTGGGGGTCTTTTATTTTGTCTTTTTGTTTCTGAGCTTCTAGGGTGCACTAGCTTCATACTTTTTCTGTTTCCTCTCCCAAAGACTGCATCTACCTAAAACAGTTGTACATGCCTTTAACATTCAATACTGTTTTGGACCTCCAGTAACATGTGAGTCTCCCCTCCTGTCATAATTGAAAACTTATTAAAGATCCTTATTTCTGTAAGTAATCCCCCATCCTGCAAACACCGAAGTGCAGACTTCCTTCTTTCTATTACTTTCTTTGTTGCATTGTAGATATGTCAATTTGTAAATATTGATTTTTTAATTGAATTGTATATGCTTCTAATTGCATATTTTAATTGCATAGCCTTTAAGATGTACGCTACATATTTTGTGACGATACATTCCAGTGACATTCTTCATTCTGACAAATTTACTGTTCTGTGCTGCCAAAATCCGGGATTTTTTAAAGTGAATTAGCCTGATACTCCTTTGCATTGATTGGGCCGGAGCACAGTGCTGACCTCACCTGGTTTGCCGTTTGGCGAAACTAAACAGCCTTGTCACCATTGTGTCTTCACAGGGAGATAGCTAATGCATGTTGGCCATATCACACTCCAAAACCACATCTTTTCCAGACTATGCTGCTGCCTCAGACGTTAAATGAACCATTATTATCCATAGCTTGACCGGTCTGGTACTGCTTGCGTGGCTAGCCCTGCTCCTTCACCGTCAGAGGTATTTGTGTCTGAATGTTTGCAGCCCCCCATTTGTGTGGGTGTCATGGAAAACCAATGAAAACGTTTTTAAACTGGAGGAAATAACAGGTTTGTCTCCCCTCAATTTCCCTTCCCTTATTAAGATAGTACCGTGTGACATTAAAGGTGTGAAACCGATGCACATAAAGTGCCTTAAACCCCTGTGTAGACACTCTCGTTCAGAAGTGAAGTGACCTTAGTTTTGACAACAGCTTTCAGGGCCATCATAGCACTACTAATCATCATACTTAGCCCTTTCTTGAGTGCAGGGCTTACAGTGGACGAGAAGCTGGATAGGAGTCAGCAGTGTGCCCTTGTTGCCAAGAAGGCAAATGGCATTTTGGGCTGTATAAGTAGGGGCATTGCCAGCAGATCGAGGGACATAATCGTCCCCCTCTATTTGACATTGGTGAGGCCTCATCGGGAGTACTGTGTCCAGTTTTGGGCCCCACACTACAAGAAGGATGTGGAAAAATTGGAAAGAGTCCAGCGGAGGGCAACAAAAATGATTAGGGGGCTGGGGCACATGACTTATGAGGAGAAGCTGAGGAACTGGGATTGTTTAGTCTGCAGAAGAGAAGAATGAGGGGGGATTTGCTGCTTTCAACTACCTGAAGGGGGGTTCTAAAGAGGATGGCTCTAGACTGTTCTCAGTGGTAGCAGATGACCAAACAAGGAGTAATGGTCTCCAGTTGCAGTGGGGGAGGTTTAGTTTGGATATTAGGAAAAACTTTTTCACTAGGAGGGTGGTGAAGCACTGGAATGCGTTACCTAGAAAGTGGAAGAATCTCCTTCCTTTAGAGGTTTTTAAGGTCAGGCTTGACAAAGCCCTGGCTGGGATGATTTAGGTGGGGATTGGCCCTGCTTTGAGCAGGGGCTTGGACTAGATGACCTCCAGAGGTTCCTTCCAACCCTGATATTCTATGTCTCCGGAGCCACAGGTCGGCCTCCCCTGGTCTAGGAGCTTGTGTTTAAAAGGTATTCATAAGCTGGATGTACTGTTCCCCCTGTGTTAGGCTAGTTGCAGTGTTCTGTGTACAGTAAATGTTTGTTTACTATAGAAACTTTCTACAAAGGGAAGAGACCGACTACAGAAATATTGCAACCCCTTCCTCTGTTCGCTGGTTTTAGAGGCAACAGCCCGGCCCTGGAGTGCTGTAGCATGCTTTTGCAAATTAGACAAATACCTTTCTTTAGGGGTGTCAGAGGAGCAGCCCTGTTCGTCCGTATCCGCAAAAAGAAAAGGAGGACTTGGGGCACCTTAGGGATTACTCTTTTTCTTTATGGGTGTCCCCATTTAAGGCAGAGATTTCCCAGGGATGAAGCGGCACCTCTCACCATCACAAAGGGCTCCCGGGAGATGGGGGAGGTAGCAAACTTGGGCCCTGCCTACCCCCCCCCCCGGCCCACCTTGCTACCCCTGGACCAGATGATGAAGGGGGTGGGCAGCAAACTGCGCCAGGGTAGCACAACCCCCCCCCCCCCCCAGGTGAGGGCAGCGGTTTGTAACATTGCACCCTGCGGCGGGGGGGGGGGATTCAAAGCACCGGGGATCCCCAAGTGTTTTGCAGCGGGGGGACTCAACCCCGCCTGACCCGGGGGGGGGGGGGAGGAGGCGACCAGAGCCAGGAGGGAGCGTGCCGGCAAGGGAAGGGTTAAGCCGAGGCATTGCCCCGCCCCAGAGCACATGGGGCCGGGCTGTGATAACGCCGGGACCTTCCCGGCCCGGCCCGCCCGGGCGCAGGGCCCGGCCCCGGCTGCAGCCCCGGCCGGGTGGGGCGCGGGGGCGGCGCCGCGAGAGAGACTCGCCGCAGCCGAGGCAGGAAATCGCCGCCCGGAGGAAGCGGCCGCGGGGCCGGGGCCGGGGGATCGGGGCCCAGCTGGGACCGGAGAGACCCCCCCCCCAGCCAGCTCCGGGGGTCTGTGCAGCTGAGCCCGGCAGGGTCCCCCCCACCCAGCCCGCCGGGCCTTCGGGGCAGCCCCGGCCCTGCTCTCCCCCGCGGGAGAGGGGCAGGGGTTGGGGGGTTCGCTGCTGCCCCTCGGGGGTCTCCCTCCCTTTGCCGGGCGCAGGGAAGGGGCCCGGCTGGATCCCGGCAGCCGCCAGGACGCAGGAGGGGAGCCCCCAGGGGCGGTGAGGGGGGGGACACGCCCGGGGAGCCCCCATGGGCGACGCTCTGACCATCTGCCCCGACTGCGGGAAGAGCTTCCGCCAGCACTCGTACCTGGTCACCCACCGGCGCGTCCACACCGGGGAGCGGCCCTACAGCTGCGCCCAGTGCGGCCGGGGCTTCTCCCAGCGCTCCAGCCTCATCCGGCACCGCCGCACCCACACGGGCGAGAGGCCCTACCGGTGCCCCGACTGCGGCAAGGCCTTCGCCCTCAGCGCCTCCCTCCTGGCCCACCAGCGCACCCACACCGGGGAGCGCCCCTACGGCTGCGCCCAGTGCGGACGGGGGTTCAGCCAGCGCTCGGCTCTGGTCACCCACCAGCGCACCCACACCGGGGAGAGACCCTACCAGTGCCCCGACTGCGGGAAGAGCTTTGCCATCCGCTCCCACTGCACCGCTCACCAGAGGACCCACGGGGATCCAGGCGGGGAGCCCCCCTACCGGTGCCCCCAGTGTGGGGAGGGCTTCCGGCTCCGCACGCGGTTCCTGCATCACCGGCGCAGCCATGCGGGCGGCAAACCCCACCGCTGCCCCGACTGCGGGAAAGGATTCTCCCGCAACTTCCTGCTCAAGACGCACCGGCGGATCCACACCGGGGAGCGGCCCTACCCCTGCCCCGACTGCGGGCGCCGCTTCCGGCAGAGCTCCCACCTCACCCACCACCGGGCCACCCACACCGGGGAGCGGCCCTACCGCTGCAGCCGCTGCGGGGATGCCTTTCCCTGCAGCTCGGAGCTCTACCTGCACTACCGTACCCACACCGGGGAGCGGCCCTACCAGTGCCACGACTGTGGGCGCAGCTACACCACCAACGGCAGCCTGCGGCGGCACCGGGCCAGCCACGGCCTGGGCTAGGGCTGCAGCTGGCTCGGCCCAGGGGCACCCTCCTGGGCAAGGGGCTGCATCTTTCTGCCTCTAGGCATGGCCTTTCTGGCTGTTTGCTGGATGGCTTGTACTGGGGAAGAGAGCTAGGGACGGGTTATAGGGGGCTCGTTCCAGGAGAGAGAAGGAACACAGGGAGGGATCGATGGGTCATACAGGTCTAGAGCTGGGTCATACCTGTTAGACTGTGAAAAGCAGCTCCGCTCCATCTTCCGCTCCTGGTCCCGAAGATGAGGTTTTCAAAATGATCTGAAGTGTGCGTGTATTTTTCCAAGCACCTTGAAATAGAGCGTGAGTGTGTCTGTCTGTTCTTAGATGCAGATCTGTGTTCTGGGGCTCAATAGAACAATCAGCTGACCCACAAATTGTGCCAGCAGGGGATGCAATGTTGGTAGGCCCTGGTGGCAGGTATCAGGTGACAATGACAGACCTCCTTAGCGCCACTTAGGGAGTAGAGAGAGCCGCCGAGAAAGGAAGCGACTGCCAGGAGACATGGCGGGTCAGAGCTGAGCTGGTTGCAAGCACCGAGCCCTAGGAGATCGGCCTGGGTTGGAGTCAGCAAGTCAAGAGAAGGAGGTGGGAGCATGACCCTGAGAGGGAGCAGAGGCAGAGATTCTTGGTCACAGAGCCCACTGGAGGGGCAAAGGTGGGGATTGTGCTGCGGGGAAACTGCCGACTGTTTCTTTTCTGCGGCGTATAGGGAAACAGGGTCCTGTGGGCATTCTTTGTAAATAAACACCATCACACCTGGAATAGACCTGCCTTGTCTCAGCGAGGTGCTGTCCACAGAGGAACAGCCTTGCAAGGCCCTGGCTATTGGCTAAGAGCTCAGGCCGGAAGGTTACAGGGTATGGGCACGATACCTTGCCCCAGATTAATCCTGAATCAGTCAGTCCCTTGGGAAGAGAGCAGCATGAGCCTGAAGCAGCACAGATCTGCCCCCATCTGGACCCCAGGCGGGGTGGACCAATGTTCTAGGGTGGTCCAGAGAATCTTCTTTCTAGCTGCCTGGCCGGTGGGTCTTGCTCGCATGCTGAGGAATGACCGATTAGGGGTCAGGAAGGAATTTCCCCCCCAGGACAGATTGGCTGGGGCCGTGGGTGGGGTGGTTGTCAACTTCCCATGCAGCAAGGGGTGCAGGTGGCCAGCTGTTGAACATCTGGGCATAGAATTATAGAGTTGTAGGGCTGAAAGGGACCTCAAGAGGTCATCAAGACTAGCCGCCTGTGCTGATGCGGGACCAAGACCATCCCTGACAGGTGTCTGTGTAACCTACTCTTGAAAACCTCCAGTGACGGGGATTCCACAACTTCCCGGGGCAAACCTGTTCTCTCACTTCACTACCCTGAGAATTAGGAAGTTTTTCCTTATCACTAACCTACATCTCCCTGGCTGCAGAATGAGCCCATTATTTCGTGTCCTACTTCCGGTGGACATGAAAAACGATTGATCCCTGTCCTCCTTATCACAGCCCTTAACATATTTGAAGACTGTTACCAGGTCCCCCCTCTGTCTTCTTTTCCCAAGAGTAACATGCCTGTTTTTTTTTTTTTTTTTTTTTAACTTTTCCTCCTAGGTCAGGTTCTCTGAATCTTTTATCATTTTTGTTCCTCTCCTCTGGACTCTCTCCAATTTGGCCACATCTTTCCTGAAGTGCGGTGCCCAGAGCTGGACACAGTGCTCCAGCTGAGATCTCATCAGTGCTGAGGAGAGCAGGACATTTACCTTCCATGCCTTACATACAGCATTCCTGGTAATACACCCCAGAATGATACTAGCCTTTTTTGCAGAGGCATCCCATGGTTGACTCATAGTCAATTTGTGACCCACTGTAACCCTCCTTTTCAGCAGCATTGCCACCTAGCCAGTTCCCCATTTTGTAGTTGTTCTTTTGATTTTTCCCTCCTAAATAAAGAACTTTGCACTTCTCGGTACTGAATTTCATCCTGTTGATTTCCGCCCAATTCTCCAATTTGTCACGCTCATTCTGAATTCTGCTCCTGTCCTCCAAAGAGCTTGCAACCCCTCCCAGCTTGGTGTCGTCTGAAAGTTTTATAATTGTACTCTCCACTCCATTATCCAAGTCATTCATGAAAATCTTGGCTAGTACTGGACTTAGGACTGACTCCTACAGGACGGCACTAGATGGCCACTGCCAGTTTGACAGCAAACCATTGATAACTACTCGCTGAGTATGGGCTCACCCAATCAATTCCCTGCCAGTGCAGGGACCGTCAGGCATTGGCGGCTCACTGGTTTCTCGTGTTCTCTGCCCGTTGCTCACAACAGGGCTGAAATGCTTTGGTCTAACTAAAGGCTTTGGGCTGAATAGTAATGGCCTGTGACCTAGGGGAAGTCAGATTAAATGAGCTAATGGCCTCAACCATCCATGAAACTTTGCTGTTTGTTGAGGCTGGTTTAGGCCACGCAGGTTGGGGAGGGGCCTGTAACTGGGGGCTCTGTTATTTATACCAATTTATTTGAGCAAAGCTCATGCTCAAATAAATTGGTTAGTCTCTAAGGTGCCACAAGTACTCCTTTTCTTTTTGCGAATACAGACTAACACGGCTGTTCCTCTGAAACCTGTTATTTATACCGACATTTTAAAAATGCGTCCAGGCCTCTGGGTCCCTGGCAGGTCAATTAAAAATTGCTTCCCAGAAAGCTATTCCTTGCCTTTCAGAGTTTGCATTTTAGCCCCCATCCGTCAGCTGCAGGCTACGGTAACACTGCATTAATTTTCTGGCAGGGGATTTCCCTTGTTTGTTATTGAGGAAGTGCTGGTAGCAGTGAGGGGGTGGGATTAGGGGAATCTGTGTGTGCAAAGGGGCATCGTGGGCACACTTCACCATTCAACTGCTGCCTCCCCCCTCCTCCGTGCTGCCCCATGCGTTGGTAAGAGAGGAGGGGAGCTGGTGGGGCTGTGTGGGGCACAGCCCAGATGGGGGCAGGGGAGTGGAGATGCCAAATGCCTTCCCCAGATACACACATCCAGGGAGAGGTGTGAAGTGGCCCATTCATCTCAGGGCAATGAGAACACCCCAGGGAGACGACTACCGCCTGCAACAATCGCTCGGAGAGGTGTGTACTGCTCCATTCATCCCAGCGGGTGTGCGCGTGCGCCCGGAACTGACCATGCCCGTCCCCAGCGCCTGGCACAGACCCAGTGCTGGAGTCCAGTGCCCATACCCCTCGCGTGTCCAAAAGGAGCCCCAGAGGCTACGCAAAAGGCAGGGTGAGAGCGAACGCCTATGGCACAGAGTGGCCCGCCCTGAAGATTTTGCCTCCTTGCCCTTGCCTTTCAGGGGCAGCACTTGTTGCCTTAATCCCTTGGGCAAGCAAACAACAGCTCGCAGGGGGGTGAAGGGACGTCAGCAGAGGTCCAAAGGGCCGTCTCCACCAAGGGGCCTTAGCCTCAGCATTGCAAGGCCTAGCTTTTCGGTGCCTGTGATGGGTTCAGAGGAACATAGAACCATCGGGCTGGAAGGGACCGCCAGCGTCATCGAGTGTAACTCCAGCCCCGCTGGAGTGATTCGTATAGGATGTCTGAGATCACAGCCTGGCTCAGGCCCAATAGGTGGGGGAACACCTAGATGGGGTTTAGGTGTGAGACAGGCCCCTGGAGCAAGGACTTTAGGTGGCAGTGTGGTTTCCCACTGGCAAATCTTTAGGTGCTAAAGAGACTTTGTCAATGGAAATTCACACACCTAGAGGCTGTCAGTGCTCACAGGGTTAGGCAGCAGCTGAGAAGGGATTTTGAGGATCTAAATGTTGGATTTAGGTGCCTAAAGTGCACTTAGGGTGACCAGATAGCAAGGGTGAAAAATTGGGACGGAGGTTGGGGGGGGGTGTAATAGGCACCTATATACGACAAAGCCTCAAATATCGGGACTGTCCCTATAAAATCGGGACATTGCGTCACCCTAAGTGCAGTTATCCCTTTGTGGACCTAGCCTGAAAGCTTTTGTAGTGCATTGTTGCCAACCCCCCAGGATTGTTTTGGAGACTTCAGGCATTAAAGCTGAATCTTTAATTAAAGATTATGTCACGTGATGAAAGCTCCTGGAATGCATCCAGCTGAAATTGGCAACTCACCCATTATTCCTTGCCTGAGGGTCGGAGCCTAAGCTCTGGGCCAAACACATGATACAAATCTGCAAATGTTCAAAGCTGCTCTTTCTGGTGGGGCTGCATGTGGGGAACTCCTTAACCAAGTGACCCGCAATTGTCCCTTCTGGGCTTAGACTCTATGATTCTATTGCACGTGGGTTTCTGAGCACCTTGACTGTTAAAGTCAGACGCTGATTGGGGTGCTCTGTCAGAGGAAACCCTTGACCAAATGACCCCAAACTAGTACCATTTTCTGTCCTCCTGGTACTGAGGATGGGTAGTAATTTTCAAGACAATCTGATTAGGCACGTAGGTTTCCAAGCACTTTGAACTATTGGTTCTTAAGCAAAAAGCTCTGAGTTTAGGGCTCGTTTGCCACAACCGGAGAGCGGTCATCTAGGCTGGGGAATTTGCCAACAGCTCAACTTGAACTCATGACACAGGGGAGGTGCTTGGAGTCAACCCTTAAGCTCCTGAGCAACTCTATTATTCGGGCTGCTGCTTCATAGGCTCATTCATCCCCGTCTCAGGGTACACCAGCAAACCTTCCCAGGTGCATGCCACTTCAGCAAGCCACAGCACAGCCCTCGTACTTCTTTAACTCTTGCTCCCCCAAAGGCGGAGTGAGTGGGTGCTAGACGCGAGCAGAGATCAGACCAGATCGAGTGAGATCGGTGCGGGGTGATCACAGCAAGAATTTGAGCCCACAGGTGTGTAGCAAAAAAAACCCAGCGTAATAAGAACGGAAATGTTACCAACCGGTGCTTTATTCTGCTCAGCAACCCCTTGTCCGAATGACCCCAAATTTGCCCTGCTGACCTTATGCCAGGCCCTTATAGGGCCCAAAGATTTTTAAGAAGTGTTGTGTATGCAGATGCTAATCTAACAACTTCCAGTGCTGTGTTCCCGTTGGCTAATACAGGCTGCTCTGTCTTGAAAACGCTTGGGGTCGCTGCAAATACTGGCTGAGGTACATTAAGAACGGCCGTACTGGGTCAGACCAAAGGCCCATCTAGCCCAGTATCCTGTCTTCCGACAGTGGTCAATGCTGGGTGCTTCAGAGGGAATGAACAGAACAGGTGATTATCAAGCGATCCATCCCCTGTTGCCCCTGGGGAGTGTACAAGTCTCTAACCAGGAGTCTGTTTCAGTTGGATTCACTGAGGAGAGCTTGCAATGTGAAACAGGAGTTCTGGAGCTGTCTCGGAGGTGGCGAGGCTGCACGGCCTAACCTGAAGGAAGTGTCAGACTCTGTGGGAACCTAACTGTAAAAAGGTTCCCCCAAGAGACTGTTTAAAAGCTGGAGCAGAGCACAGATCCCGTCCATGCCCAGAGGATCTGGCCTGGGTGGTGCTGAGAACGGTAGGGCACATTCCAGCTAGAGCTGGGTGAATAACGAATTTTTTGATTCACCGGAAATTCTGAAAACAAGAGAAAAGAAATCATTTGGGGTCAAGCTGAAAACCACATTTTCAGCAAATCAAAAAGTGGGGGAGGGGGATTAGTTTTGGGTCAATGTACATTTTTTTGTTTCAATTTTGAGCATTTTTAAAAAAATCTTTTTGAATTGGAATTTAATGAAATTGAAGGAAATTCGGAATCCAAAAGTTGTTTTGAACCAAAAAAATCAAAAAATGTTCCATTTAGAAAATGTCAAAACTTTACATTTGGATTTTTCAGATTTTATTTTTTGTAAATCAACAATTTGGTGAAACTAATGTGAATTTGCAAAATGTTGCCATGGTGCAAAATCTGCACTTTTCATGGGGGAAAAATGGTTCAGATGAAACCGTTTGCCCACCTCCAGTTCTGACATTGAGCTAACCAAGACCTGGGGTGGTAAGTTGGCAGGAAAGAGCCCATCTCCCTGGTAGCAGACCCCCAAACCATTTACGGTTTTGGTTAAGTCTAACTGTTCGGTGTCACCCCGGGGGCTTATCAGATGCCAGCGCCGACTGAGGATGGCTGGTCTGACGCACTCCCAACAAGAAGAGGTGGTGACAAACTTTCCGTCAAAACTGTTTTACTACAGAAAATTGAGTTTTTGACTAGATGAAAAGCACCTGCTGCTTTCCATGGAAAATGTCCATATCTTGTCAAAAAAACCCAAATGTTTGAAAACAGAAATATTTCAATTTGGATCTGCCACCACAGTGCCGTAGGGGATTTATAGTTCGATTGCCTCATGTCTCCAGTCTCCAGATACACCATGGGAGATGTAGTCCGACCAGGGAGCCCAGCCTATAGAGAAGGGGAGCATGAGAAACCAACAACTCTAATAATGCCAGTGGCTCTGGGACTCCCAGGATGCACTTTGGTCTGTCTTAGGTGAGAAGGGGAGGTGCATCCTGGGAGTCCTATGCCCATGATGCAACAGGGGAAATGTAGTCTGACGAGGGAGACCTATAGGAAAGGGGAGAAGAAGGCCCTGTGGCCAGGGACTCCCCAAATGCAGCAGCCTCCCCAAGAGCCTGCTAGTCCAGGGGTTCTCAAACTTTTTCTTTCTGTGGCCCCCCTCAACAGGCTATAAAAATTCCGCGGCCCGTCTGTGCCACAACAAATGTTTTTCTGCATATGAAATCCAGGGCTGGTGTTCGGGGGTAGCAAGCAGGGCAACTGCCTAGGGTCGCACAGCACAGGGAGCCCTGTGAAGCTAAGTTGCTCGGGCTTTGGCTTCAGCCACACGTGGTGGGGCTCCGGGCTTCTGCCCCGGGTTGTGGGGTTTCAGCTTTCCGCCCTGAGCTCCAGCGAGTCTAACGCTGGCCCTGCTTGGCGGACCCCCGGAAACCTGCTCGTGCCCCCCCCCAGAGGGCCCTGGCCCCCTGATTGAGAACTGCTGTGCAAGTCCATGACAGGGTCCTGGCACCCAGTGATAGCCTCAGGGCTGGCAGGGCACCACTCTCCTCTAGCCGCCATGGGCCGAGCCGGCTGCACCCCGTAGCCCAGGGCGTGGCTGGCCCGGTGCCGCCGCAGGCTGCCGTTGGTGGTGTAGCTGCACCCACAGTCGTGGCACTGGTAAGGCCACTCTCCGGTGTGGGTGGCCCGGTGGTGGGTGAGGGGGGAGCTCTGCCGGAAGCGATGCCCGCAGTCGGGGCAGGGGTAGGGCCACTCTCTGGTATGGATCCGCTGGGGCATCTTGGGCAGGAAGCCCTGCTCCCGGGGACTCCCCCCCTGCATCCTAGTGGCCGCTGGCGGATGGAATCCAGCCAGGCCCCTTCCCTGCACCAGGAGAGCGGGGTGGCAAAGGGAGGGAAACCCCGACAGGCAGGAGCGAACCCCCCAACCTCTGCCCCACGGGGGAGAGGAGGGGCCTGGGCTGCCCTGAAGGCCCGGCGGGCTGGGTTGGGGGTCCCTGCCTGGCTCAACAGCACAGACCCCTGGGCTGCCCTGGAGCTGGCTGGGGAGGGGGGGGGTCTCTCCGGTCCCAGTTCAGTACCAATCCCCCTGGCCCTGCCGCCACTTCCTCCGGGCAGCGATTTCCTGCCTTGGTTGCTGTGTCTCTCCCTCCCTGGGCTTCAGGCTGTGACTTGCTTCGCCCGATGCCCTACTCACCGCCCTGGGGCTGCAGCCTGCAGAGGGAGACTTGCTCCGGCGCACACGCAGGACCCAGGCGACTGGGGCGCTGGGGCAGGAAGATCCCTGGGCAGGGCCATGAGATGGGCTCTGCCTGGGAAAGGGAGGAAGACAGAGATGGGGGAGGGGAGAGTTACCCCTTCCCAATTTGGGCTCCCTCCCTTTTCCCCCTCCCATGCCTGTGTGCTGCACCATGGGGCACAACACAGGAGCACGTAGAGGGCAGGCGGCCACACCCACCCCACGCCCTCAGTTATATTATTCCTTATGTGCAGTGCAGCAGCACCTAGGGGCCCACGCCGCCAATTAGAACCCCACAAACTCCCGGTGTGTCCCCCCCACCATTTCAGGGACTCCCTGCAACCCCTCCCCCACAAACCCTTCCCTCTGCCAGGGTCTCTGCATGCCCCCCATGTCCCTGGTGTCTTTGCCCCCAGTGCTCATTGCTCCTATCAGCTGAGCTCGTTGCTCTCACCAGAGGCTCCCTCCACGGCAATTTCTAATTTTGTACATTCGTTCTTGCCTGCTCGTCTGAGGGCTCAGTCACATGGGGTGGCCACCTGCCACGCTCCATTGGGCTGCTGGGCCCAGCTGGCCTGGGGGAATGTTGCGAGGCTGGAAGGCAGCCATGACTGCCATCAGCCCTGTCTTCCATCTCTAGCCAAACCATGGCAGGCCTGGCTGAAGCTGCAGGCTTCGCTAACCAGACGTTAGGGGCTCTGCGTCCCTCCACCCCCCCCCCACACCCCCGAGTCTGGTTTTCTTATCTTTTCCAAAATCCCCAGGGGTCTGATCTGCAATGGGGAGAACATTCCCTGGAGATCTGGTATCAATTTTGTGTCTCATGCCACCACGTTGGGGTTGGCGTCTCACTTCCCTCAGCTAGCGATTGGTCCATCTGTCTGTCTGTCCAATCAATCAGTCCATCCATGTGTGTCAGAGCAGTCCAACTCTGTGCTCCCTCTACAGGTCAGAGATCCATTCTAACCCGGCCCAGTCCCCCTCTGTATGGACACCCATCTATTGCCAGTGGGCCCCCGTCGTTGGGTCCCATGTGCTCTCAAGTCCCCTGGCTCTGGCTCTGGGCAGGGTGTAGTCCCTGTTTCCAGCTCTGGATCTATGGGGCACATGCCCAGGCTCACACCTCTTGCCTGAGCCCGTCCTTGGGACATGGGACTCCACCATCCAGCTGTCCTAGAGCCTGAAAGGCCTTCTGAGTCTCTCCCCCCCACCCCCAGTTGCCAAGGCCATGGGCACTCTGGCTGTGGGCCCTCTAGGCTTCTAGTTTAACCCTTTCATGGACAAGGGGGTGGGAAACTGTAGAGAGGGGCCATAGCCTCCCTTGGAGACTGATAGGGAGGAGGCACCATTCACTCTTGGTGGGCGGAGCCGTGCCAGCCGCGCCCACCCCACCAGAAACAGAGAGGTGGGACAGGAGGTTTAAAAGGCGGGCCCTGCACCATTGGCAGGGCCCTGGGTTGGGACCCAGTGGAGTAGAGTGGACCCAGGTCCCCCTACCTCCTGCAGCCACCCCACCCCTGGGGTAGCCGCCTACCCACCTTAGGCCTAGAGGCCTGCATTTGTCTGTCATCTGCCTGAGCTAGGAGGCCAGAACCTTAGATTGCTTATTGCTCTGCCCTGCCCAGAGGCCCCTAGATCCCTTGCTTCTCTTCCCTGCCAGACAGCTGGAGCCCCTTTAGACTGTGGCCCTGCCCCTCCCAGACGGCCAGAGCCCTCTAGACTGTCATTCAGCCCAGCCAGAGGGCCTCATACACTGCTGACTGCTCTGCCTGTCCCGGAGGGCCAGCGCCTTACAGACTGTTGCATTCGATGAAGTGAGCTCTAGCTCACGAAAGCTTATGCTCAAATAAATTTGTTCGTCTCTAAGGTGCCACAAGTCCTCCTTTTCTTTTTGTGGATACAGACTGACACGGCTGCTACTCTGAACCCTGTCATTATAGACGGTTTGTTGCCCTGCCCTGCCCAAAGAGTCAGAGCCTTGAGAATGCTAGTTCCCCCTTTCAGACGCGCTAATGCAGGGGCATGGCCTCCCTCTGAGACTGATGGGGAGGGACGGTCACGGACCCTTACAGAAAGCAAAAAAACACGAGCTGAGCAAAGGGGTTTCCTAACGCCAGTGACTTTACTATTAAAGCCCTTGAGAGTTACAGAGCTTTGAAAACAAGCACAAAGCACTCCCAGTCCCCTGCTCTGAGCTGGCCCCAGCTGGGAGTTTGTCCGTGTTTCAGGCTGGTGAGGGTCCCTCTTGCCCTCTCCTTCCCCTGCACATCTGGATTACTTGTGCCCCCATGCTCCATAGGGCCAGTAGTTAACAGACATTCAGAGTTGGTAGCTGCAGATTGCTGTGTCCTGGATGGTCCTTCAGCAAGTGTCAAGCCCTTCCCTGTGTGGGGCGGCTCTCTGGGATGCAGGACAATAGGCCACCCTTGGGCAGCTGTAGACCCATGTTGAGCAAGTGTTACAAAAGGTTTCAGAGTAGCAGCCGTGTTAGTCTACAGCTCACTTCATCAGATGCATTCAGTGGAAAGGAAGTTTGTACTATAAATTGGAGCTCACATGGGAACAGCTCAGAGCCCAGGGTGTGTTGGGGGGCATCGGTGGGTTTATCTTCCCAGGCATTAGGAAAAAAGCTCTCAGAAGCAAGAAGGACTGGAGTAGTTGGATAGATAGTTATCCAGTCATGGACCAAACCCCTTTGAATTATTTGTTAGGTGTATTACAGCAGAGCCTCGGAGCCTCAGTTAAGAGGCAGGACCTCACTACACCAGGTGCTGTACAAACACAGAACAAAAAGACAGTCCCCGCTCTAAAGAACTTATAGACTTCTGGAGGCAGATAGGGGGTGATGGATTCTAAACTCTCCCAGGGGAAAATGCATCAGTTGGTGGAGTATTGGTGGGGGAATCCCATAGGGCCAGCAGGTGACCAGCTTGAGGTTGCTGCCATCTGCATTAGACACACAGGTGAGGGCTTGGCTGTTTCTTTGCAAGATGACGTACACGGGGCCAATACAGACTCTGCCCCTGCAATGAGGATGTAGGTCACGAGATGGGAAAAGGTTGTTGATGAATATAGGGGTGCCCAGAAAGTTCCATGGCAGATGAATTGTTGAGCCCAGGAGGGTTCTATGGAAGCTGAGGCAGATGGAACATTAGGTTTATAAAGGCTCCATGGTGGTTGAGGTGGACAGAACATTGGCTTTATGAAGGTTCCATGGCAATTATGGTGGATGGAACATTGGATTCATGAAGGTTCCATGGAAGTTGTAGCAGATGGAACATTGGGTTCATGAAGGTTCCATGGCAGTTGTGGCAGATGGAACGTTGGGTTCATGAAGGTTGAAGCCAGGAGGGTTCGGTGGCAGTCGGAAATGAGAGTTGAGTGGGAGCAATGGGTAAGGCATCCCTTCTGTGATCATTTCTCAGGGGCTGGTCCAACGGCACTCAACCCAGGCCTCAGCTGGAGAAGTGTGCCCAATTCTGGGCACCGAGCTTTAAGAAAGATGTGGACAAACTGGAATGTCCAGAGGAGAGGAACAAAAATAATAAAAAGCTTTAGAGAACCTATGAAGAAAGGTTAAAAAAAAACAGGCATGTTTAGTCTTGAGAAAAGAAGGCTGAAGGGGGACCTGATAACAGCCTTCAAATATGTTCAGGGCTGTTACAAAGAGGACAGTGATCAATTGTTCGCCATGTCCACTGAAGGCAGGACCAGAAGCAATGGGCTTAATCTGCAGCAAGGGAGATGTAGGATAGGTCAGAGGTTTCCTAGGGAGGTTGTGGAAGCTGCAATATTGCAGGTTTTTAAGAACAGGTTGGACAAAAACCTTTCAGGGGTGGTCTAGGGTTACTCGGACCTGCCTTTGCACCGGGGGCTGGACCTGATGACCTCTCGAAGACCCTTCCAGCCCTACATCTCTATGACTCTCTGAGCCCTCAGAGAAAGGCTGGGGGAGGGGAGGGCTCCTGCCAGGGGTCAGGCAAGGCAGGAGGGAACTGAGAGCGACACCTACCATGAAGATGATACTGAGCAAGACGAGACAGCGTTCTGCTGGGGTTTACGTCAGGATCAGAGCGGCAAATCGTGATAACTGGGAGCCCAAGCCAGCTTCTGAGCTTCCCTGCAGGCGAGAACAACATGTCCAAGGCCACGCTGAGCTCTGAGACAGGGCCCTCAGCACGGAGACGGGGGGAAGCAGATCCCGGTGGGGAAGTTTATTTCCAACAGATACAGTTGACTAACACAACAGCAGACTGGATCATCATCAAAACCAGGCGGGGGGTGGGATCCAGGTGCCTGCTGGGAACTGAGAGCCAAGGGTGGGGCTGGCGGGATGCCAGCTGCCCCAAGCTCAGGAACGGACGTTCCCCAGGTGCCACTGGGCTCCTGAGCTAGCAGGTCTGTGCACCGTGGAGAGAGGAGCCAGGCACTGGAGACGCCACCAGGAAGGAGATTAGACGCTCCCTCACCCCCCGCCCAGCCATCTGGGAGCATACGTCTGTCTGGCCTCTGAGAGCAGCCCCCTCCAGTTTCCAGCAGCCTCACGTACCCCTCCCCATGGTTCCCAATACTTCCCTTCCCCAGCCCCTGGGAGAGGGAAAGGAGCAAAGAGTGAGGTCCAGAGCTGTGGAGTTCCAGGGGAACGAAGGAACAGGACCCCCCCACCCCACCCAGGAGCAGGCACAGACAAAAGGCCCCATGTCCTTCAGAGATCACTACCTCACTACTGTGGGGATTCTCACCTTTTCCCTACCAGGATCCCACTGCCATATAGCCAGGAACCCTCCCTCTTAGCAACAAGAAAGGGGTAGAGTTGCCATGACCCCCTTTGAGGGGCAGCGATCCCAGGCTGAGAACCCTGCCTTGTGGCCTCTAAGCATTTCTAATAGCCCCATCTTGATTGGGGCAGAAGGGACCCCCACATTCACTTCCTTCCCCACTTCAACTAATTTCCACCTGTGGGCCCCTCAGTCATTCCCGTCCCCCCCTTCCACCCATACACACACTGCACCCATATCGCAATGCCTACGTGGTACATCACTAGTCTGGAGTCGGACGGGCTGTGCCTCGCCCCAGGGGAAAAACTATGTCAGGTCTCTGGGCTGATGTGATTCCTAAGGAGCTTGCTTCCTTCTCCCTAAAGAGGCCTGGTCCCAGGTCTCCAAGGCCCTTGGTCTCTAAGGAGGCCTGCTCCCCAAAGAGGCCTGGTCTCTGGTCTCTAAGGAGGCCTGGTCCCAGGTCTCCAAGGTCCTTGGTTTCTAAGGAGGCCTGGTCCCAGGTCTCCAAGTTCCTTGGTTTCTAAGGAGGCCTGGTCCCAGGTCTCCAAGTTCCTTGGTTTCTAAGGAGGCCTGGTCCCTAAAGAGGCCTGGTCTCTGGTCTCTCAGGAGGCCTGGTTTCTAAGGTTCCTAAAGAGGTGTGAACAGTTAATAGAACTGTCCTCGCATGGGGACTCTAGGCCACATGGACCCTCTGGTGCCGGACAAGGTGGGAGCTGAGGATGAAGCTCCTCCCGCACTCTGGGCATTTGTAGGGTTTCTCTGCCAAATGGGTGCGCTGGTGCTGATCCAGGGTGGAGCTGTCGCCAAAGCCCTTCCCGCACTCGAGGCACTTGTAGGGCCGCTCACCGGTGTGGGTGCGCTGGTGCTGGATCAGGGCTGAGCTGTCCCCAAAGCCCTTCCCACACTGGGTGCATTGGTAGGGCCGCTCCCCGGTGTGTGTGCGCTGGTGTTTGATGAAAGCCGAGCCCCAGCTGAAGCTCTTCCCACACTTGGGGCAGCTGTAGGGCCGCTCCCCGGTGTGGGTCCGCTGGTGCTTCACCAGGGTTGACTTGTGCCGGAAGCTCTTCCTGCACTGGGGGCATTTGTAGGGCTTATCGCCACGGTGGGTCCTCTGGTGCCCGATCAGGGTGGAGCTGTGGCTGAAGCTCATCCCGCAATCAGCGCATTTGTAGGGGCGTTCCCCTGTGTGGACCCGCTGGTGCTGGACCAGGTGCGAGTTCCGGCTGAAGCTCTTCCCGCACTCGGTGCATTTGTAGGGCCGCTCGCCCGTGTGGATGCGCTGGTGCTGGATGAGGTAGGAGCTGTCGCTGAAGCTCTTCCCGCAGTCAGGGCATTTGTAGGGTCTCTCGCCGTGATGCACCTTCTGGTGCCGGGTAAGGCCTGACTTGTCTCCGAAGCTTTTCCCGCAGTCCGGGCATTCATAAGGCCGCTCGCCCGTGTGGGTGCGGCGGTGCTGCAGGAGGTAGGAGCTGTCGTTGAAGCCCTTCCCGCAGTCAGGGCATTTGTAGGGCCTCTCACCCGTGTGGATCCGCTGATGCTTGGTGAGGTGGGAGCTCTGGCTGAAGCTCTTCCCGCACTGGGAGCAGCTGTAAGGTCTCTCCCCCGTGTGGATCCGCTGGTGCTTAATAAGGTCTGAATACTGGCTAAAGCTCTTCCCACATTGCCCACAGATGGTCAATCTCTGGGGTACAGACATGCTACTGAGAAGCCCAAATCCATTTTCCACCCCTTGGAGTTCTTCCCCCTGCCATCCCACCCTGTTGGCCTCTCCCTGCTCAGGGCTCTGCGAAGGCCTGTGTGGCTCCCGCTGGGGATTCTCCTCCTCCTTCCTGACACCTGCTGGGAGAAAGAGAAAATCCAGTTCCCTGTGACAGGGAGAAAGGGGGCAGCAAAGGGGTTTGTCACCAAACAGAAAACCCGATGGGCAGGAAGCAAAACCCCCCTCAAATCCTTCCCAGAGGGGAGATGAGGGGCCAGCAAAGGAATTTGGCATTCACCTATTAATATGTCTGAAAAGTTTAATCTGGTTATGAAGGACTGGGGAAGGGAGAAAGTCACCTAACCTAAGTGTTGTGTCTACTCATCCTAATCTATGAATCCTCCCTTATCACATCGTCCAAAACCTGGGTCTAGTTCTGGTGTCCACAACTTCAAAAAAGGTGTTAACAAATTGGAGAAGGCTCAGAGAAGAGCAACAAGAATGATTTGTCCATTCTGGATAACCTGCCTTATAGCAAACAAAGAAATGGAAGTGACTTGATCACGGTCACTGGAAGACAATATCATAGAATCTAGGGCCAGGAGGGACCATCTAGTCTGACTTCCTGTGCAACACAGGCCAGAGAACGTCCCCCCTGATAATTCCTGTTTGAACCAGAGCAGGTCTTCTAAAAAAAACAACCCCACCCAATCTTGATTTTTCAAATTGCCCCTGATAGAGAATCCACTATAATCCTTTGTCAGTTGTTACAATGGTAAATTGCCCTCACCATCAAACATTTTCACCTTGTTTCCAGTATGAATTTGTCTAGCTTCAAATTCTAGCCTTTGGGTCCTGTTAGATCTTTGTCTGCTAGACTGAAGAGCCCACTACTAAAAGTTTGTTCCCCACATATGTAGTTACAGACTGTGCTCAAATCACCCCTTAAGCTTCCCTTTATTAAGCTCAATAGATTGATCTCCTGGAGTCTGTCATTCTAAGGCAGGTTGTCTAATCCTTTAATCATTCTCGTGGCTTTTCTTTCACCCCTCTCTAATTTATCAACATCCTTCTTGAAGTGTGGACCCAAGAACTGGACAGTAATGGCATCACCAGTGCTGTATACAGAGCTAATATCACGTCCTCATTCCCTAGCTCATACACCCAAGGATCATATTAGCTCGCTTCACTACAGCATGTCTGGGAACCAAGTGAAGATGAGCTGTCTATCATTACCCCCTCCCCTAGTCCTTTTCAGAGTCACTCCTTCCCAGGATACAGCTCTCTCTGGTATCTTTGAGACAGGAGAGCTTTTTAATCTACTGGACAAAGGGAGAACGAGACCCAACAGCTGGGAATTGAAGCTGGAGTAATTCAAACTGGAAATAAGATATTGATTCTTAACAGTGAGGGGATTTAGTCAGTGGACCAGCCTTACCAAGGGATGTGATGGATTTTCCATTACATGGAGACTGGGTTGTCTTTCTTTAGGGAGACAGTGTGGCTACTGGATAGAACACTAGGAGTCCTGGGTTCTATTCCTGGCTCTGCTACTGGGAGGCCTTGGGCAGTCCATTTCCCTCTCTGTACCTCAGTTTTCCCATCTGTAAAACAGGGGAAAGGAGCCCACCTCTATGAGAGTCCCATGGTGATGCTCTGCAGCCTGGGCTACGCAGGAAGTGCAGGCTGGACAACCATTGGGGTTACTTTTGGCAAACCATCTAGGGATCTATGGATGGTCCCTCTGATTTTCCAGTCCATGACACTAATCAGCCTGCCACAAGCGTTTCCGAATACTCCCCTGGCCCAGTTTATCTAGTGCCCCCATCCAGACCAAGGCCACCAAGTCTAGTTATCGAGGCAGCGATGTGGGGGATGAGTGGGGGTATGTCTGCTCCAGTGTGAGCAGCCCCCCAAGTCACTGCACCCTCTGGTGCTGCCTTTCCCCCTGCAGGTGGGCTGCAATGCCAGGGCTTCTGGGGGGCACATCCCACAATGCTTTGTGCTACACTCAGCTGAGCTTGCTGTGTGATTCTTTCCCAGAGCACCGTGGGAGACGCCGTCTGGCCTTCTGGGCACATGGGGATCGTGGGAAGGCAGCAGGGGACTCAGGGCGCTCAAGGGCTTAGCCAGCATCCTCCCTGCGAAGTGGGGAGGTTACCAGCCAGGCTGAGCACCCGAGGAAAACCCCTATGGGTGGCGAGCGGCCGGATCACCTGGCCAAGGCTAAATGAAGGAGCCTGCAGCTGGCTAGATCTCCAGAAGCCAAGGACTCCCGTGGGGCCTGGAAGCCAAACGCTCTCAAGAGATGGTGCCCTTGTCCCCTGGGGAGAAGGGCCAGAAATAGGGACACCCCTTGGCGCCGGCTGGGGGCGCTACTGAGCGAGTGGAGACAGAACTGGGGGGGGCTCCCGCTGGCTTGGCTGGGACCGCAGCTTCCCCCCTCACTCCCAGCCGGTGTGGCTCATTCCTCACCTGGGGGGGCGCCTCTGGGGGTCTCCCGTTCCTGGGCGCCCGGGAGATCCGGGACCCTGGGCTCTTCCCCTGGCTCCATGCGGGGGATCGCGCCCGGGCCGGGGAGCGCTGCTCGGTGAAATCTGCCCCCCGAGCCGGGCACGCAGCCCTGCGCACACCCGGCGGGGCCAGGAGCCGGGCTCCGGGGGGGCTGGACAGGAAGGTCCCGGCGCTGCTCCGGCCCCGCGGCTGGCAGCTCCCTGGGAAGCGGAAGGTTCAGGAGAGCGGTGGGTTTAACCCGTTCTTCTCCGGGCCTTGCGGAGCCACCGCTGGTTAGAGGCACTTCCGATCCCCCCGCCTCTCTACAGTGGTTAGCTCGCACGCTTGTCCTAGCTGGGACCAGGACCCAGGAGCCCTGACCCCCCTAGGCCCCACTCCCTTCCCCGGAGAGCTAGGGATAGAAGTAGAACCCGGGAGTCCTGACTCCCAGACCCCACACTATCCCCCTAGACCCCACTCCCTTCCCCGGAGAGCTAGGGATAGAAGTAGAACCCGGGAGTCCTGACTCCCAGACCCCACACTATCCCCCTAGGCCCCACTCCCTTCCCCGGAGAGCTAGGGATAGAAGTAGAACCCGGGAGTCCTGACTCCCAGACCCCACACTAACCCACTGGACCCCACTCCTTTCCCCCCAGACCTGCCGATAGAAGTTAGAGCCCAGGAGTCCTGACCCACTGCTTCAATTCTTATATAGGCAGAAGACTCCTCAAAACTACCACACAACAATGTGAGACATGCAGATGGTGACAAAAGAGATCCAGGAAAGGTGATGAATATACACAATAACCCTCTGTAGTTAAGACGTTCAATGGGCCGAGAGTATGTAACAGAGCTTCCTTACACCTGTGCTATCCAGATACAAGAGGAGAAATTATGAGTAGGGCCCTACCAAATTCACAGTCCATTTTGGTCAATTTCACAGTCATAGGATTTTTAAAATAGTAAATTTCATTATTTCAGATATTTAAATCTGAAATTTCATGGTGTTGTAGGGATCCTGACCCAAAAAGGAGTGGGGGGCCCAAAGTTATTGTGTGTTGGGGGTGGGAGGCGGTTGCGGTACCAATACCCTTACTTTTGTGCTGCTGGTGGCGGCCCTGCCAGTTTGAGAAACACTGGTCTCCCTCCCTAAAATCTGGTATTTTGTGTGCTTTTACTGTATACCATACAGATTTCAGGGGGGGACACCAGATTTCACAGTCCATTACATGTTTTTCATGGCCGTGAATTTGGGAGGGCCCCAGTTATGAATAATGTGAGACCACATTATCGGACAAGCTTGTGAGGCTCTAAGCGCTCCTTGCTGGTGTTTCTGTTTGTATTGTTTTGCATGGATCCCTCACCCTGCAGCTGTTTCTGGGGTGGAGTGTGGGGACTGTTTATATAGGGATCCCTTACCTAACCCTAAGATGCAGCTGCCTCTTAGGTGGGGTGCAGGGCTGTTTATACAGGATCCCTCACCTGATGCTAAGATGTAGCCACCTCGGAGTGGGGTGCGGGGCTGTCTATACAGGGATACCTCACCCATTGCTTAGATGCAGCCACCTCTGAGGTGGAGTGTGGGAGCTGTTTCTATAGGATCCTGCACCTGAATCTGAGATGCAGCCACCTCTGGTATGGGGCATGAGGGCTGTTTATACAGAGATCTCTCCTGATTTCTAAACCAATTTTATGATTTATTTTTTAGGATATATTTAATGAGTTTTGAAGACTCCAGGCCTGGCAAGACCAAGATTTTTATTATGATAGTAATAATAATTCCTAGCTGTTATTTTCATTTGTAAATCTCAGGTCACTTTACAAGAGAGGGCAGTATCATTATCCCTGTGACACCCTGGCACCTCCATATTCACCACTGTCCTATAATTTTAATATGTTTTGTACAATGCATGCCTTGTGAGGTATCCTTCTAAAAGTCTTGATCTGTCAAACATTAATATCCTGTTGGATTGTACGTGTCATTGTATGTGTTACTGAAAGATTTTGTGAAGTTGAAAACACCCACAACTAGCCTTTCAGGTACAGCGATGGAGTAGCCAGACAGTGTTAACTGCTGTCATCAACACCCATCCAGGGAAGAATCCACTAGAACAGGAACTCTGTATAAGGAAGTTTCCTCGGAGGGAGCACGTAGGCAATGGAGAATGTTTGGCCAATGCAGCAGACTCCCCATGTCACATGCATAGACTTTCCGGCAAGCTGGAAGAACCTATAAATGATGAGGAGTGACACCATGACTTGGTCTTCACTCCCCCACAACTCAACACCTGAAAGAAGCTCTGGAAGACAAAGGACTCTGAATGGGGGAGGGGAATCCAAGCTGCAAGGCAGGTGCAGCTTGTGCCTCAAGAATCTGTAAGCCTGCTTGTATCATCAGACAGGGTGAGATATTGCTGATTCAAATCCAATCTAGTTTGTATAAGACTTAGTTTGCGATTTTGTTTATTTACAAGGTAATCTACTTTGATCTGTTTGCTATCACTTAAAATCTATCTCTCTGTAGTTAATAAACTTGTTTTATATTTTATCATAACCCGTGTGTTTTTCAGTGAAGTGAGTGGGGAAAATCTCAGCTCAGCTATCAAAGGCATGGTGCAAATCTTTTCCACATCGAGGGGGAAGCGAACTATATTAATGAGCTTGGATTGTACAGATCCCTGTGCAGTGCAAGATGGTCTAATTCTGGGTGAATACTCCAGCAGGGGTGCAAAGCTGGGGAGCTGGCTGGCGCTGCCATTGTTGATCCATGAGTGGCTTAGGTAAAGCACTCAGGTAGGCATGTTGCACCACCTGCTGTTCTGTGGGGTGTTAACAGGGCCTGGAGAGGCTGGCTGAGTCACCAACAGAGCAGTGTGAGAGAGGCCGACCCAGCTGAATGGTTAGGGGGGGCACAGTGGTTCCAATGGCTCCCAGAGTGCACCCTAGGGGTACAATCCATCACAATCCCCATTTTACAGATGGGGAAACAGCCACGGGGAAATGAAGTGATTTGCTCAAGGTCACCCACTGGCAGACCTAGGAATAGAACCCAGATCTCCAGAGTCCCACCCTAGTGCTTTGTCCACTAGGTTTGCTCTGCACACACTTTTTATCAAGATATTACTATGTCAGTGTGCGGTGTGATGTTAAAATCAATATAGCAGCACAACCGCTAGCATAGAGGTAGTTACACCAACATAAAAATATCTTATACCAGTGCAGCTAGTCCCCTACCTTTATAGTGTTGGTGGCTTAATTCCCTTATTGATAAGATAGCAAATAACTCAGCTCCATCAGTTCACTAAACAGTGAGAAATCAGCACAGACAGAGGTGTTCAGACCTTACCCCCCTGCAGGGAAGAGCCGTTAAACCAGCGATACTCAGTCCTGAACAGGAGCCAAATTCGCGATCAACATTACCCCAAAGAGCCACAGGAGTCTGAATTCATTGTTTCATTCTCTCTCTGTATATATGTATATATAATTCTTACCGCAAAATAACTGACCCAGTATTATTATTTTATCAACTACAATTGGTTAATAACATAGTAGAAGCTTCCTCCTTGATTAATAATGAAATCACAGAGTGTTTTAGTATCCTGTGCTGCAAAAAGCCGCAGGAGACACATTAAAGAGCCACTTGTGGTCGCGAGCCTCAGTCTGAGTATCACTGCATTAAATTGTCCCAAAAGCATGAGCTCACTTCTGCCCATATTCATAACCCTTTTGTGTACAGCAGATACAACATTTCCCAAATTCCCCTGTATCAACACAAACCTTCCATCCCTTTTTCCTATCTAGTTCTGTACCCATTTTTCAAGTTCAAAGGCCACCTGCTCCGATTATTTCTAGCTTGTATCTAGTTAAAGACCCCTGCACCAATTATCCCTAAAAGATAACCAGCCATGCCTGGCACTCTGTTTATATTTGCTATTGCTTCTGACAGGTTCTGCATACACAGACAACAGAGGTCACATACAGTCAGGCTTGGAAGGATGACATTTTTATTGGTAAATGTTGATTTAGCCGTACACACCCAAACTGATGAAAAGCTATTTCCATGGATAACCATCAAAATGTACAGATATGCAAAAGAAGAAAAACACTGCTTAAGAAAGAAAAGTTCGATCCAAGGATATTTACTTTGTATAGTATGACATGTGATCCTGGCAATTTGTGTTTTAGTTATAAAGCTGTAACATTGTGAATCTCAACATCTGTCGTTAAATAATTATTGTCTGCCCATCCCCATTGTCTGCCCTCTCTCCAGTTTCCTGCAACTGTGGACATTTAAATTGACAAAAGGAGAAAAAAATGCTTAAAACAGAATTTTGCACAACTGTAAACTGATAAAAATGGGGGGAGGGGAGGAATGCTTTAAAACCACCATCAATATTATCCATGGAAATGATTAAAAAAATAAAAATCTGATTCTGTCAAGCCGACATACATTTCACCTGTTAAGAAGTTTCCACAATAAAGCTTAGCATAAGTGCGTGGCATTTGGGGAGTCTGATTCATGGTTATGCAACTTAGCATACGTACAAAGCCTTCTAAAATGTATATGATATTGGCTAATAATAGAAATAGAGGTGGTTGTTTCTCAGATTCAGGTGCAGGATCCTAAGCTATAATGCCCATAAGCACGGGGGTGGGCTGTGCCCCTTTACTAGTATACCACTTACAACTTTTTCCATGAAGGCAAGGTCTAAGAGATTTAGTTCTTTTTATGCAGAAGCATCACACTTTTGGAAACATGTTGGAAACTTTGCATGGCAAAAGGGGATGTTTGGATAAGGACCAGACAAAACAAGAGGGAAGTAGATTGATCCAGAAATGGTCATTTTCAATATTTGGCAAACAACATCTGAGAGATGCCCGGACCCTGGTTCTAATCTTTGGCCATGTCTGGGATTGAAAGGTGTGACTTTAGCTCCATCTAATCAACGCTTTCTAAAACTCTTGTGCAGGGAAAACAATGGCACTGGAGCACCTGCTAAATTAAGGAAGATGAAGACTATTATTATTAATTGTGATCTGTATTACGGCAATGTAAGCCTGCCGCAGTGAGCCTCCCAGCCTGGTTCAACAGACTCAGGTTAACAGGGCTTGGGCTAGTACTTTGAAATATTGTGTAGACAGCACTTTGAAGTTGCAGCCTGGACTGGAGCTCAAGGTCTGAAGCCTAAGGAGGGGTCTGGATGATATCTTAGCACTGTGT